CATAGCAGTGAAAATAATCCACAGCTTTACAAATAAACATAGGCAATAGAAAAAAAATTATTGATTAAAAAATAAAGGTATATATGTCTATAAATATAATTCATATAAATAAATTTCAAAAAAATGTAAATAATATAGTCAGCATTTGCTCACAACTTCTCCTGCTCCCGAGGATTGTCTTCCTTGCCACAAGAGACTTCAGGAGTCACCTTTCTACAGTGGCTTCATCTCAAATAATGATCAGAAGCCCCCAAGGAGATGAACCCCTGGCTAAAGAAGTGGTAAGTGACCCCCAGCCCAGCCAGTGGTGGGCGCCATTTTGGGAAGGTTCTGGATGCTCCAGGAGGCACACACAGGGTCATTGAGTTCAGTGGCAGGGTGTGCCATGTGGATCACAGTGGTGCCACGTGGAGTTCAAGAGGTGGCAGAGGTGGTGGCCTGTCTGCAGGCAAAGCTTTGGAAGGCATTGAGCCTTGGCCAAGGCCACATGGGGTGGGGTGGGCACTTACACTTCCAAAGCTTTACCTGGAGTCAAAAAAACTGTGAGCCTAGATCTTCCAATACGTGCCTCCCCTGCTTGAAGTCTACCAAAAAGATGTGTACAGGGAAGAGTCCTGATGGGAAAAAATGATGAAGGCTCCTGAATTTGCAGACACAGAGCCCCAGGAATATTCCTGTGGCAGGAGGCAAGGTAAAAGCACAAGCCAGAGAACAGACAAGGAAAGGAAGGGAAGCCCCCTCCCTCTACCCTCCTCCCGCCCCCACCCACTCTCCCCTGCCCCAGGCCACACCCCAGCTCCACACTCAGGGGCCACTGGTGGAAGAGCTGGCCCTGAATCTCAGGAAGCCAGACCACAGGGGGAAGTGATCTCCTAGATGCATCTGCTGCCTCTGGCTTCTGCAGCCTCAGCTCAGTGAGGGGCACACCAGGGGCACAGGAGACTGGGGCCCAGGCAGGAAAAATCCAGGGTGCTTCCCAGTCCAACAGAAAGCTGAAAGCACACAGGAGAACACGTGGAGCCAGCCAATAAGTGTCAGGTCTTTGGGGGACAAAGATCGGGGAGATGAAGCCAGGGGGTCTGGTACAAGCCTGAATTCCAGCAGCTTGTGAGGCTGAGGCAGGAGGATCATGAGTTCAAAGCCAGACTCACAACTTAGATCCTAAGAAACTTACCAAGACCCTGTCAGAAAACAAAATAAAAAGGGGTGGAGATGTTGCTCAGTCATTAAGCACCCCTGGGTTCAATCCCTGCCCCCCCCCAAAAAAAAATTCTAGGAAATGAGCTATCTAGGGCTGGATTATACCTAACTCAGCCCGAGATTTTCCCTCTTATGTCTTTTATAGTGATTTTTTTTTCTTTTAGTTACAGGACATGGGAGGTGTCAAGCATGAACATTCCTTAGTTTTCTATATCAAGAATTTTATTTCAGATCAGAGACTTTGGGCACAGATAGAAATAAAGTCCAACTTTGCCATTTTCTATCTAGCAATCAGTTTACCTATTTGAAGTCTTGGGTTTTCGAGTCTGTGAAGTGTGGGATACAGGCCTGACTCATTCTGGTGTCGAGGTCACAGGGATGATAGTCTGATGCCTGGCACAGGGCAGGGCCAATATGACTCAATCACATTACAACCACAGGCCCTGGAAGATTTTTGTGCTGCTTCATTCAGAATTGTAATCTGCCTAAAAAGTTAAGTGTGCTCGTTAGCTTATAAAGCAGTTTCTGGATGGAAAAGGGATGTGTGGGTGGTTCGAGGGCGTGAGAGACTCCCTGGGAGGTAAGCTGCAGAGGAGGCACAGAGCAAAGGTGGACACAGAGGCTGCCAGCAGGAGGGGGGCAGTAGGGTGTCGGTCAGGGAGCACTTGCTGGCTCATCCCAGGATGAATAAGGAGCCTCAGCTGCCCAGAGGGAAGCTGGAGATTGGAGATGCAAATTAGATGGTGTTCAATGGCCAGCAAAGGAGGCTGCCTGCTGGCCACCAGATCAGCTCAATTGCATTATTCACTGCTGGTGCTGATCCCCTGGGCACAGGTGGAAGCCAGGGCTCCTGAGGTTTTCTTTCCCCCAAGTCCTGTCCCAGTGCAATACACCAACTAGTGGACTTTGAATTTGCACAGCTGCCAAAACAATCTGAGGGTGTTCAGACCTTCTTGTTACCTTGAAGTGAAGTTGGGTTCTCATTTCTTGCCCAGAGACTGAGGCGACAGATGACTCAGATTCTCCTATTCATTATTAGTCACCTGGTTGCACTTATGAGAAAAAAAATAGGAACACAGAAAAGGGGAAAAATGACATCCTGGGGCAATTTGAAGGCAGAACAGTTGATTGAGAATTATCTTGATTACGTTCTGACCACCTCACACCCTCTAGGGGGAAGTTCAGGACTTAACGTCTCAGCCTGATGTGACTGAGTGTGATTTTTCGTACTGGAGTCATGGTTCACGAGAAGTTTTCCAAACAGTGACACTGGACCTGAAGGTGAGGCCGGGGAGATGAACTGTCCAGAGCTAATGGCACTGCAGAACCCACTGCCACTGCCCAGAACCCACTGCCACTGAGCTTCCAACGCATTCACCCACATACTTCCCAGACAAGGAGCGCCAGGGATGGCTGCCCCAAAGGTGCACAAGTCTGGCTTGTGTGAGGAACAGTGTTAACGTCCTGGCCAAAAGGCCTGTCTGCTTCCTGTTCTAAATCCCGAGGATCGTTCACCTGTGAATTACATCCGTGAGAGAATTGTTAGAGAAGTGCGTGCTTTTAAGTGAATGTAGACTTCACAGAGAATAAGACAATAGCAGCAGGAGTATCTGGTCATGAAGGGTCTCGGGACGTTTCTGTAGGGCTGTGGCGATACAGCGACTGTACAGGCTGCAGGTGCTGAGCTGCTCCTCCACCTATGAGGGCAGTGTCTCCAACGTGACGCTCACGCAACCACCTCTCCTCCACCACGTGAAGCAGAAGCTCTCCATGAGCGCGTGCAGTTTAGCTTTAATTTACTCCTGTGATCATACATTATTCATTCATCCCTTCACTCACTCAAACAGTGACAGACGCCCCCGTGCACCAAGTAATTCACATGGTTCTGAGGATTTGATTATGAATTAAGTCTAATCCCCACCACTTGAGAAGAGGGTAAGGTAACTATCATGCTGCAGGAAGTGATGTGTTCAGTAATAAAAACAAGTGCAATTGTATCTCAAGATATTGTTGTGACTCAAATGAAGAGTGACTTTCTTTGAGTAAGAGGCTGGAGGTGGGAGTTCCTGGCCCAGGAGTTGTGAATGCAGTCTCAGAGAAATGAACCCTCTGGGGTCCCATCAGGATTGCCTGAAGACCAAAGGATCTCATCAGAGTCAGTCTGAAAGTCTCTGGGTTCTTGCGGCCTTTGTAGTACAAAGGTTACCACTCATTTCCTCTCTGGCTTTAGGGCCTCTGTAATGCAGGGTCACCATCCATTTCCTGAACACCTAAATAACATGTAAAATGTGTTTTCTTAGGATACCAGCATTTTGGGAAGCACTGCTCTAGCACATCACAAGTAAGTGCACTTCTTCAAAACTAAGGTTACGTTCAACAAATAATAATATATCATTTACAGCGATCCTTCCTTCTTACAATCAAACAGAATACATGCCCAAGCTGACCCCTAAAGTTTCTCAGTCATGAAAATCTTACGCCAGTAGAGCACAGACCTTGAGGCCATTCCCCAACCCTGTTTCTGGTGTCACAAGGCAGGGTCTACAAAGCTGTGTGCACACTCCCTGGGTCCCTTGGTACTGCCAGCACATCCACATAGGAGGACACGTGGTGACGCTGGAGTCAGAGACTCAAAGGCTTCGAGTCTGATAAAATTTTAAAAAGACTAGACCTCACCTTCTAACCCCCATTTCTCTTCCCCTCTCCTTGATCCGGATGTGACTTCACATAGCGCAGAATCAGCCACCCCATTTACAACCATGACAGAAAGGATAACAGAAATGAAAACTGAAAGGTGGCAGGTTGCAGGATGTTTGCTTTGTGAGAGACAGACAAACTGTTTTTATATTAGCCATACTAAGTTGGATCTTCTGGCCCTCGAATCCAAACGCATTATTAGCCGATATTTATCCTTCATTTATAATATTGCTATTACGTGGCATAGATCATTGCATGGTCATTGTGTGGGGCAGGGCGGATGTTGTATCGCCATGCTAGACTGGTGCCAGAGTCTCCGAGATGCGAGTGCCCGTCGGGTTCTCCTTGGAAAGCTCCAGCTGAACCTGTGCTTCCCAGCCTTTGTTCATGTCAGTGCAGACCGTCCCTCTCAGGAGCGCGCCTGTCTCTCTAGATTGACTGTGAGCCTGTGAAGTCGATGACTGCGCACGGGTCACCAGTCTTCCCATCGCAGTGCAGTGAGTGAACTGACGTGTCTGCATCAATGATGTACATGTCTGTTCTGATTAAAAGAAAAGTAGCAAACCTGAGTTGAAGCTGGATTTATTGCTTTTATTTATTCTTGTACTAATTTATTTGAATCTACAAAGGAGGATAGAATGCTCCATACAGTACTTCTTGTATTCTATTAATTTCTGCCAATATTGGTTGATTGCTCACTGCAGGCTAGCGAATGGGAGTCACAAAGATGCACAGGACATAAGGCCACCTTTGGGAAGTCCAATAGCACTGAAGATAGCAATGGAAAGCAAGGTTGAAGCCTCTGAAGGCAAAGTTCTGACACCGTGAGACCTTAGTTTTCACATCGTACAACTGTAATGTAATTTTGGCAGGTAATCTACCTATGACTTTACTAAGGATTAGATTCCTGAAGTAACTTAGAATGCAAAGAGTTTATAGTGTAATACATATGTATAAAAATTTAAAGTAGAATACATACTACTGTTAACCCAGAGTCATATTAGAGTAAGTCACTTTTCCTTTGTTGTACATGAAAATGGATAAAGTTTTGAATCCTTATAAAAAGCCCAAAGATATTAAACTGAATTAACAGGAGTCCAGTGTCTTATGAAATGTTTATCATCCCTGTATTTATTCTCAAAATACACAATAAGAGAACCGCATTCAGCTGCATTCCCAGCAGTGAGAAGATGTGGAGGAGAAAGTCAGCATGTAGACCCCACTTTTCCCAAACTTCAGTTTTCTCAGGAGAGGAGACATACACTGAAGTGAGGTGTCTTCGAAGGCTGGGGATAAAACATTTGGGTCCTTCACGATTGGGGTCTCATGTCTAGTCAAACAGGGATCTGCTGACACCGTAGGCCTCAGACAGGACACGAGTGAACTTGAGTGAGGGGCAAGTGCACAGACAGACGGCTGCTGCAGAATAAGGTCTGGCCACGTGGGCAGTCATCCCCTGGAGCACTCGGCCTTCAGTGGGCTGCCGGGGTGCTCTCTGCTGTCCACCTGCCGTTCCTGAAGATTCAAAGAGAGGGAGAGAAAGCCAGTGCTCCCACCAAGGATGAGGCTGGCTGGTCACCTCAGAAAGCAGAGCTGTGTCCCCCGAGGACGTCCCCCAGGGGAATGGGAGGCCTCGGGCACCATCACTGGCACAGACGGGTTTCCTGTGCTGGGAAATGCTCAGAGCTGCTTTTCGTCTCTCTGAGGCCACAGGACTGAGAACCCAAGGGAGTCACTCTCGATGACCAGAGGAAGGCGGTCACAGGAGACAGGCCCTTGAGGAGTTCTTGGAAGAGCTGAGCATGCGTCCCCGAGGTCAGGCCTCCTGTGTTATCACTCCTCCTCGGCCAGGCCGACTGCGGGAGGGCTCACACACCCACAGGGCCTCTGAGGGGCCTCTCCCCTGCCGGCCTCTGCAGCCCAAGCAGAGGTTTGAAGAGAACCCTGGGGTCTGCTTTATACCTGTACAAGAAGGACGCTGGGATCAGTGGAGAGAAGAGGTCGGAGGCCCACAAATGCAATCCCAGTCTCTGAAGAGGATGGTGGTGCGCCAGGAGCAGGGCCTGTGGGTGACACAGCCTCAGTTCTAGAAGGGTCATCAGTGAGGGTGGGGCCAACTGAAGGGGACCACTTCCCACAGGAAGCCTCCCACAGCCCTGCAGAAAGTACTGCCAGGAGATACAGGGCCAGAGCAGTGTCCAGGGTCCTTCCCTCCCAGTGTTGGGTCAGCCACGTGGAGAGGTATCTCACGCTAATCCTTGCTCTCCATCCCTCCAGACCCCAGGGCTGCCACTGGAGGTGGGGTTTGTCTCCAAGTGAGATGCCTGAGCCCTTCTCCAGGCTGCAGGGCGGGGTAGAGGAAAATCAGATGTGACCGTTTCAGTGATTTCAGACTTGACGATGGACACAGGTTATGCATCACGTCTAATCCTGTCTCACGGACTGCAGCAGTGTGTGCAAGGAGCATCCATGATTAAGGGAGGAGAGAGACACGATCACAAGACTGTCCGCTGCAATCAGCTCAGGGGCCCTCTGAGCACCTACTGCGTGTGCTGGTGACCTAGTCCACAGTGCATGAAGGTCACCCCTCTCTCCTGGTGCACAGCCTGGGGACTCAGGGACAAGTGCAGGACATTTGGCACATACCATGACACACAGGGTGCTGTGACAGGATGGTAGAGATTCCCGCAGAGTGGGAGGAAGTGAGTGAGGTGAGGTGCTGGCAGAGGGGAGGCCACTGCTAGAGAGTTACAGGGAAAGGGTCACACAGGCAGGGGACCGGCCTGAGTTTGAGGACAGAACAGGCCTTGTATTACTTTCTCAGGGAGAAGAAGGTCGGTCAGGCGCTGTTCAAGCTCGGCCTCTAGGAAGTGGCACACAGATCTCAAGTGTGGAGGGCTGTGTGGAACACAGGCTGGGCACCGCGTGGACAGGCTGCTCCGAGGGATGACAGTGAGAGGAACAACGGTGTCTCCATCCACGCTGGCCTTGGAGGACTCATCACTGGAGAAACGGCCCGATTCTCCACGGGAAAACATACGCGGGGCTGAGAAACTTTAAGAAAGCAGGTAAAGATGCTGGACCAGGTGGTCATGGATTAAATGCACTCCCTTTGTACAAGTGACAGTGCCACTCAAATCATCCCTGGAGTTTCCCCACCTTGAGAACAGTGCTGAGCCAGGAGAGCCGGAAGGGTGGACGTCTCACCCTGGTGACCTCAGGGTGACTGCAGGTGGCTTCTGTACGAAGCTGTATTAGCCTTATTAAAGATGGTCCTCACTAAGATGAGTGTTCATCTGAGAAGAGGAATATGGTGAGGGAATCTGGGTTAATCCTTAGAAGCATTATTTTGTTCATTTAAATCACTGAAACATAAAAACATAAAATTATACATACTAATGGTGTACCTTGTGATGTTTTGATGCACTTATACTCACCTAATGTTTAAATCAAGTCAAACATATTCCTCTCTCTGAGCAGTCATCATTTCTTTATGGCAAAATCTTTCAATATATTTTCTTCCAGCTTTTGAAATGCACAGTTCATTGTGGTTATCTACGGGCACCCTGCAGTAAACAGCACCCAGAACTTCCCACTGCTAACTGCAGCCTAGGGCCCGTCCACCTCTCTCCCCACCCCAGCATACTGCCTTCCCATGGCCTTGCCAACAGTTGTCTCCTTGTTGGACATTTACCCAGTAACTTCCTGGAACCAACAGTTTGTTTGTCTCCTGTGAAAGAGAGGGAAGGCAGTGTACAGGCTGTAATTCAAGAAGGTAAAGATCAGCCTATAGGAGAGGACCCTAAGCAGCACTGCAGAGCAGTGTGGTGTTGGCTCACCAAGCGGAGGGACCCAAACGGGTGCCAAATATAGTTGCTAATGTCCTGGTTCAGAATATTACCTTTCATCTAAGAGCAGAGAACAATCTGTTCATATTAATGGATCTGATGGCTCCGAAACTCTTGTAGTGTTCTTCAACCACAATTTGGTTTCAGTTTCTCTAAAAATATTTGATTCAAGATGTATTATTATGATGTAATAATAAAGTAAAAGTAATATCCTGATGAAAGTTTGATTGCTGTGATTACTTGTAATTTTCCTGTGCCCACTCCATCATCTTTTATTCATAGAGGACTGTATTCTATAGTTGTCATTGATCAATCTTGACAAGGATTGCTGGAATTGATCAATAAATCAAGTCTAAAGATATTTCACAGGATGTTGCCTCTGAGGGACCAGTCAACAAAGTAGTGCTCATAAGGCCTTCTAGCGATCCAAAGGGAAGGAGAATATGGAGAACATTCTTTACGCTGCCCTCTGAGCCAGATGCTACCCCACAGCATTTGGAGGAACTAAAACATGAAATAAAAACTGGCTCATGAGAGTGCCTGGAAGAGAAGGTGCATGAGATGCAGCTCCTACCTGACCTCAGCTGGAGGTTTCATCTGCAATGTGCACATGACACTGGAACACTTCATTCTTTTTATAAAAACTGAAATAATACCAGTTAGGTAGCATGTGCCATATATATGCATATTATAAAACAGAAGAGCTAGATGTAATGTTGCATGTGTCATTGTTAAGGAAGTCTAATCATTGCCAAATACAGAATTCTACTCATGATGGAGACAAACCAAGAGAAAAATAAGCAAAGGGCCCCGAAGTGGGTTCGCATCAGGATCTCCTGCTAAATCTCTCCCCACTCCATCAGAGCAGAGAGAGAGGTTTTTGCCACAGATTTATTACTAATTCTAATTATTGCTTCTAATCATTAATGTGACCCAATTATTCTGAAAAAATCTACTTTCAAAGTATGCAAATGCTTGTAATCAAAATACATATTAAGAGATATGAGTAATTTTGGTTTTTTTGTTTCCTAAAATAGTTTCTTAAATGCCTGAGTATTTAAGTCAGCTTTTTTTTTCTGAAACCAAAAGACCTGACAAGAACAATTTTAGAGGAGGAAAAGTTTATTTGGAGGTTCAGTTTCAGAGATCTCAGTCCACAGACTCGACTCCAATCCTCAGGGCTCGAGGTGAGGCAGAACATCATGGTGGAATCACGTGGCACAGGAAAGCAGAGAGAGAGAAAGAGCGAGCGCTCTGCTCAACAAGGACAAAATATAAACCCAAAGGCACGCTCCCAGAGACCCACCTCCACCAGCCCCAACCCCTTGCCTACAGGACTCTCAACTTAAGTCCCACAGGGACTAATGCACTGGTTAGGTTAAGCCTCTTATAACTCAACCATTTTACCTCTCAACTTCTTGCCTTGTCTGACACACAAGATATGGGGGGAAACCTCCTATCTAAACCATAACACTGGGTAAAATTTTTCCTTTTTTAAAAAAATGGGCATTGTACATGTGCGATCATGTATCTGCGAAAAGTACCCTTTCATCACAAATGCAGACTTACCTCACTGGAGGGGACATCAAGCCCAAGAAGGATGTAACCCATTGTGTAAAATGAGTTATTTCTGGGTCTCTGGAGCTCCTTCCAGGTGCCCAGCTGTTTAGCTGAGGACCTCTTCCAGGATTTGAAGGAAGGAGTGAGTCTGTAGTGAACCCAGACACAGGAGAGTGCTGGCCACACACTGTGGGCACATGGGCTGCCCCAGGAGGCTGGAGTCAGACTTTCCTGACACATTGTCTGGGCTCTTCTCACACTTTGACTTCTGTGCACCACGATGCACATCCTCACAAAGGTGTCACGGGATTAGGGAGCTGGAAACTGTGCAAAGCCTGCCAGCAGCAGCACTCAGTGTGTGAGAAGTGACCCTTCATACTCCCTGGACTCAGCAAGCAGAGGCCACCTGCGCACCTGAAGCTTGAGGGCCTCTGTGCTTTGTGGGTGTCCTGGACGTGGACATCCCAACACACTGGAAAGACCAGAGGGCGTTGGCCCTGGGGGTGAATTTTGATTCTGGTTTCTTCTAACTAGTTTGTAAGTAGCTTCTAAAAGGAGACCTATTTCTGAAGTTTTTTCTAAGATTAGGCACGACACAGGCAAAGGCCTTGGCAAGGGATTGCACTTGGTGACTGTGCAGTCAGAGCCAGCCGTTGTCATTGCTATGTCACTCAGTTGGGGACTGGCTGGGCTGGCCTGAGCTCGGAGGCATCCACACCCACGGCTGGAACAACTGGACTAAGTGGGAACCTAACAGGGTCAACACTTCCTAACGGTCCTGCCAGTGGCCATCGTCCATCTTGCTGTTCTTGCCAAAGGCTTCACTCCAAGACATGGTGCCCGTGGCAGGGGCAGAACCCACAGGTGTGAGCCAGGATCCCAGTGGACGCGGGCGGCACAGTGGTGTCCAAGGAGATCGGCACCATGGCTTCCTTTCTCAGTGGTGGATGTGGAACCTCAGTGCGGCCTCAGCCATTGCCAACCCTGAGGCACAGAAGTGAGCCCAAGAGGAGCTCAACCGCCTACAGATGGGCAGGTGCAGCCAGTGGTGGTGGAAGAAGGCACCCAGCAGGGCAGGCTCCCCGGGAGGATCAGGCAGGGCCATGAGTCACACAACACATCCAAGGACCTGACTGAGAACTCCAACATGCCTGGACACCAGCAGGCCTCGCAGGGGACAGACAGAACCAGACACGGGGACTGAAGAGAGCCAGCTTCTCCAAGAGGTACAGCCTGTGGGAAGAGGTGGGAGCAGGCGTGGCTCTGACCTGCTCCCTGGGCCCCTGCTCCTCTGGCCTGTCTGAGGGGCACACACCTCGGCTTGGCTGCTGCAGTTCCCAGGGTGTTTCTCAGCTGCAGGTTCCTAACTTACATCGCAGGGTTCGGCTGCCCATCTCCCTGCTGGTGGCAGAAACTCCATGTCATTCCACGTGTGAAGGGGCAGCAGCCAGCGCCAGGCAGGTCCCTAAACCCTCCACGGGGCAGCTCGAGTGTGCTTCCTGGGCACAGCTGCTGCCCTGCGCCAGGCCCCTTAATACAGCAAAGCCCTCCGTATTCAGGGGCAGCCTGCTGACCAGGGAAGCATCCCACACCTCTGCTGCCCTCCACTGAAGGGTGCGTGGACTCAGGTAAATCACTGACCTGCAAGCCTTTGAGAGTGTTCAAATTAGGATTGAGAAGCCAGAGAGTATTTGTACATACAAGAACTTGTTGATATAACTTTGAAGAGAATAAATTTAGAAACCAGGATTTAAACTTTAATCCTAAGATTTTAATTAATAAAAATATTATAACTATGCTGAATATTTTGGAACAACACAGCCCTAATACCTTGACAGGGTAATTTAGATTTTTATGTCTTTAGACTTTAGACCACATGTACACCAGGTTTATATGCTGGCAGGAAAGGGTATGTGTCTTTGTTGTGTTTTTTTTTCTTACTTAAGATTGCATTTCTTAGAATCAATCAACAAACAAGACAATTTAATAATTTAGGTTAATCAGTAATCTAAGAGTCTGACCTAAATAAAACTCTATCACTTA